TCACTTCAGTATTTCCACTGTTTACTATCCAGGCAATCAATGTTTTCAAAAATGTTTTTTTTTTGCCTGCTAATCCAATCGATCAAATGTCAGCTGGTTTTTCCATCGCACTATTCCATAGAGGATGAAGTAGTTGAATATTTGAATGACCAAAAATAGTTTCAGTGGAACAAAACAATTGCGCTGGTATTACCAGTAGAACGTGTTTTGTTGCTGCAAAAAATATGTTGATCGAAAAGCCTCAAACTGAAATTGTTTTCGCTGTGATTAGACAAGGATAATTTCCTCATAACATTTTCCGTTAGGATCAAGTAAACCAGTAAACAATAATCACAAAAAATATCACGGTCAAGCCCTATCAAAATTCAGTAAAGAATTTGGAATCCAGCAAAAGCAGTAGTATAAGTCTGTTTAGTTATTTTGACAACTGTGGACCCGTATTATTTTCCGACGAAGGAATGCAATTAATTGCAGTACCTTATATGTGTGACCGCAGGTGATTGCTTAGATGTTCAACCAGTTTTAACTCATTGTTTTTCAAAAAATTCCCTGTACTGTTTCATTAGTTCTCAGAAGAGGATACTGTCTACTAAACGAGAGCGCTTCCCAGTCTTGAGATTGGAAGAAAACACTGGCATTGCTAATGTAGGCAACTGCGATTCAGACACAAATTACTGGCAGTGACGGTAGCTGAGAAAGAGACATCGCAAACACTCACAGTCAACAAGACGTTTTTATCAAATGAAGAAGTAGTTAAGAATAGGCGAATGTGAAAGCTAATATTCGTCCACTTTGTCGAATTAGAACGTATTTTACTGCTCTTAAAGTGTATTTACTGCTATTGAAAGAGGGACGAAGTATTCATCCTTACGAGAATTATTTCTCTATAAACTGGTAAAAAACTCACTTATTTCCTCGATGAAGACATTTCGAGGCCATAAAGAAGCATACCGCTAATCTTCGAGTTATTGCATGAGAAGGAAAGGTAATGATCAGAGTGAATGGTTTCCAGATTAGTCTTTAGAACTGAGGGGTGTGATGGACATACAAGATCAGTGTTCTATCAACATTACGCACAAATACGTAACAAAAGATTAATCTGAAGTTGAGTAACACGGTCGAGTACATTGTGATATTTGCGCCACATTTCACTTCCTTTGCGACATCATCCTTTCGGATATCCTCAAAGCTTCCCTATTCCACGGAAGACAGTAAGGTCCGAGTTTCATCTGATTGTTACTGAATACTGCGTAAATATTATCGGGTTGTTTATGATCCACTCTGGTAAAACTCTTTGAAAAAACCAACCATTTGAGGATGAAACTGATCGTTTGTGCGATGCATTATTCACAAGAATTCGAAACTCGTGATTTGATGTATTCGATATATCAAACATGACAAGATGACATACATATTTGACGTATCGAACATTCAGATGCATTCATTTTCTCGAAAATCATTTCTCTATAAATGGACGACTATGGCATTCAGGAGCGGGTGTTTTCTTCTTGATAGTTAATGTCACACTTGATTGTGAACTTATAAAACTTCACAGTATTACCATTCTAATTGGAAAGTATTCATGGTCCGAACAAGACACTCTGTGGCATCTAGAAAGGGAGATTTACGAGAATCTGAAAAGAAGTGAATCATTGATTGTAAAAACGAATGGACTTTTTTTCTCTTCAACGAGTGAATCCATTCACTTGCTCGCCACTATAGTGGGTTTCTAGGATTTTTCTTCGTTCCAAAACGAGACTTCTTTTTCTAGAACTTTTTTTCTTTTTAAAACAGTACTCTTTTTTCAAAACATGTATGCAACGGTAAGCAGGTTTCTATATTGTCTATTATAGAGCGAAATAGGTTCAATAGGTTCAGTCTAGCAGGTAGTGTGCTTTGCGTAGAGAAAATATTTTTCTCGAGTAGAAAGCCAATGAACTCACGAGTCGTTGCGTTCAGGCTTGCAAATTTCTCCGTGTTTTCCAAAGTACCAAACAGTATGCCTGCACAGTAGTGAGAAAGTTTGTGAACGATCTTCAACCCGATCGCAGGAACGGCGGTGAGAAAGCCGGAAGACAGATTTCAGATTCAGGTACTATCGGATTAAAGTTGGATTGGTCACCCACTCCGTATCTGTGCTTATTCCGAATCTTAACAAAATTTGTCGCTTCTAAGAATGATTATCATACTTTTTAGTATTTTTGAGCCCAAAATCTTCTGGTCTATGAGACCATTTTCTCTTTGTTCTTTAATTTCTAAGTGTTTCTGTATCACTCAGTTTCAATCTTTAACATTTTGCATTTAGAAAAAAACCATTTTCCCCTTACCTAAGAATCGCTCAGAGACCTGTGCTCATTAATTATTCAGTTGTACATAAGAATATATTTCAATTAATAATTTAGTCATGTTACTCGGAAGTCGCCATTCACTTTAATTAATTTTTGCGTCAATACCCTCACTCCTTTCATTGTCAATCAATGAATGACGAACAAGACGTCATTTTCAACTGTGGCCAAAGAAAGTACGATTGATCTGCCAGAATCATTCTATGCTGATAAAAAGCGCAAAGAAATGAAGATTGAAAAATTGCTAAGTGGCTCAAAATTCGTTGATAATTGAGTCGTTTTTTAGGCAACTATAAAACAACGTTGAATTATTTGCAACGCTGAAAAGAGCATTATAACAACGTTGCATTATACTGATGCAACCCACTCTGAAAAGCTGTCATCCAAATTCGAGGCCATTTCTGGTGTTCACTGGGATGTGCTTGCATGAACATAACGAATGTATCCGTTTTGCACGGATGGCAAGCAATAATTCTTATGAGCATTATTATTTTACATAATCAATATCTATTTTGCAGCTGAATTTTATGTTGGGATGACACAAATATCTTTTAAGCGCTTTTCATCGTTACCCATATTGAATCCTTCATCATCCTTCGCACAAACCAAATTTATTCAATATTTAGTTGGAATATCGTGGGCTTCCACTCCCACTACGTCGATTAATCATCCTTTATCCCATGTTAGCGCGATCTCAGAAAATAGATGGCTGTGATAAATGAGAAGGGTCAGTGATTCGTTTGGTGTCGTTTACGAAGAAGAGATGGTTAGAGCTCGGAAGTGGCATAATATTGTGTGTAAATGAATTACATCCTTCATTGGTTATTTGGAATTGTGTTTCACATGTATCGTGTCATACGCAGTATCTGCAAGGGCAAGCCATGAAACGATCCCATACCAAACTTTTGAATAGCAATATCTGTGCATTTCCCATTTCAATTCATCATTCGAATTCACCCTCATTTTATGATATCTGCCGTTGTAGTCCTTGTTTGCGTGAAACACTCACTGAAATGATATTCGTAGATTATGCTATCGTCACAAAATTGATCTGTTTCAGATTCCTGCACGACATTTCTATCAACTTGTATTTGTTTCTGAATCAAAACGAGCAATTATCGGACGAAGTTCGTTGTTTTATGTTGAACCGAATAGGACATTCGTACGGAGCAGTCGAGTAAGACGACTTCATTACATTCTAATTTGTATTGACATCCTTTCTGCATTGTTTTTATGCATATACTGCACATTTTATCAGAGAACAATTGAACATTGCTAAAAGATACATTCTTAACATTTCATTCACTCAACTTGTTTGAAGAGGTCCCCAGAAAATACCGTCAGTTCAGTTGAAACAGTATCGAATATTACTGAGTGGACGTAGTCCAGGATTTGAATGTGTGTAGGTGTAAAGATAATGCTTTTGTAAGGATTAAACTGAAGCTAATCCTGAGCTTTAAAATGAGCCAGTACAAACATTCGAACTTTTTACAAGTTTTCATCGGTAACTCTGAAGCAATTTTTTT